ATCCCCACACTTAGACTTGCGGTGAGGAATTCGGGAGATTCGCGTCAATTTACTCGCAACTACGAGATAAGCATCTTAGAGTGAACATGGAGTGAACCAAGGAATTCAAGAAAAATGCTCCTGTCGAGGTCCCTGAGGGTTCGCATCACGAACTGTTAAAGACATACTCATGAGTATCATTTTGCGAGTTCCTCGAGATATCCTTGTTTTTATTTGAGTTAACTAGGATTTTTGTGGTATTCATAGGCTACCAGCATTTGGCTGTCGGCATAGTATAACTAGCGCCAGCCAACTTCATACATCTGTTTATGGAAAAGGATCATATACCAGGTGAGTCAATAATGTGTTCTCCTTCGATATTAGCCAAACCGTGAGATATATAGAAAAAAGTCGAATACAACAGTGATATGGTTTCATGAGAACTATCACCTGAAATTGTTTTCATATATATAGGGTGTTAGAATCCAAAGATATCGGCAGATAATGGGTTTTGTTAAATGGGACACCCTGTATATTATCGCATTTTTAGGTTCTCCCTGGAGAGCCGATTCCATCAATGCATCAAATTCGGGGTCTAGCGGGAATGATTACAGAGATATAGGGTGCTCAAAAACAGAATATTTCAATTTTTGAATTTTTTTGTGTCGAAACTATTATTATCGGTCAGAACGGCTCACATATCCATATCTTAACTTTTGATTCACTATCTACTGACATTAAATATGGAAAAAATATAACGTGGTTCAAGATTCAGAATTCTGATCAACCTGTATCTGTAATTATGGTGGGAGTCTTTTTTGAGATTTCAGAATCATGTCGTATGTTGATATTTTGCTATCGTTCATTATAAACTTTCGTGATATCTTTAGGAACTTGCATCAAGAATTTATCGTTTGTGATAACCTCTGGGATGACTTGAAGAACTCACAATGAATATTTCTGGTTCAGATTACGTTCAGGTCAACTGTACGAACTCGCAGTGAGAATATCTCGTTTACGTTACATAGATGATAGCTTCAGGAACTCGCAACGAGAATTTCTTGTTCAGGTTATGTTCCAGCTAGCTCAAGGAACTCGCAGTAAGAATTCCTGATTCAAGTCAATTTCGTAATAACTTATGGAATTCGTTGTGGAAATGGAATCGATAACTGAATGGTGAGGTTTGAAAGATTTCTACATAGGACTTAGTGAAGAAATTCGCTTAGTTACAGCACATAGCGATCTTCACTACCTCACGATAAGGGTTCGCATATGATCCTGATGTTAATCTCTCTGAGATCTCGAGGATGAGTTTTGTGTTACCTGGGATCCAAGATACGTTATTCCAAATTCTGATTATTTTACAGATTCGATATTTGAAAAATATGACCAGAGATAAGTGACATAGTAATAACAATGTACACTTCATATAAACTCCTCGATATATTATTCAATTAAACTTTGGAGGCATTTGAGTTGCGGATATCCCGCAACCCAGATAGCACAAATTCCTTTTGAGGCCCTTCTGAGGCGTTCACAATCATGTCCTCAGGACGTCGAGAGCGAGCCTGAGGACATTCTCAAGACGTCCTCCTGTTACCATTCTCTACATACTAATAACGTCTCAGAACATCCCTATAAAATCTTTTGAGACAACCTCAGGACATCATGGTAACAACTTGAGGCGGTTTTTGATGATGTTTCAAGGAGGTTCAAGATTTATGGGAGAATATTATTCGTATACAGAATGAGTCACTATATAGTGTGTTCTCCTCCGATATTAGCCAAACCGTCAGATATATAAAATGAAAATTCAAGTACAACAGTAATAGGGTTTCATAAGAACAATCACCTAAAGTTGTTTTCATATCTATAGGGTGTTGGAATTCCAAGATATCGGTTGATGATTTGTTTTTTTCAATGGAACACCTTGTATATTATTGCATTTTTGAGTTTTCCCTGAAGAGTTGATTCCATCGCATCACACTTGGTGTCTAGTGGAAATTATTACAGAGATATAGGATGTTGACAATTGAGATTCTTCAAATGTAGGATTTTTTGTGTCGAAACTATTCATTAATGGTCAATTCCGATTTAATGTCAGTAGATAGTAAATCGAAATTTTATAAGGATATGTGAGCCGTTTTGACCAATATTGAATAGTTTCCACAAAAAAAAACCTAAAATTGAAAAATCTTGTTTTTGAACACCCTATATCTCTGTAATCATTCCCGCTAGACCCCAAGTGTGATGCATTGATGGAATCAGCTCTTCAGGGAGAACCTAAAAATGCAATAGTATACAGGGTGTCCCATTTGGAAAAAAACAATCATCAGTCAATATATCTTGGAATTCGAACACCCTACAGATATATATGAAAACAATTTAATGTGAAAGTTCTCATGAAACCCTATTACTGTTGTACTTGAATTTTCTCTATTTATCTGATGGTTTGGCTAATATACAAGGATAACACACTATTGACTCACCTTGTAATATGCAAATGATAATTTCTTCAAAATAATATGGATCTCATGATATTTGCAAAATGTACCTCTATTTATAATAGGTTCAAATGAAAAACCAAATGAAAAACTTACATTCTATTATTTATAACTTATTCTGAAAAATTTCAATTTCCTTTTCAAAGAAATGTGTTTCAGCTTCTTGTTGAGCACTACTAGAAGTTATTGCCTATTGATAGTTATATTTCTCCATGTTGTTTTTGATTTCTGAACTCTGGACATTCCTGATGCAGAATAATCAACTGATGGAAGTTGAAGCCTTCATGCAATATTTTATAGATTCTGAAGAAGCAAAACTATCTTGGAATGAAAATATCATCAGGTTTGTGTTTTGCATAACCTCCTGAAACAAACAATGTATTAATATTTCATGTCCAGTATACTTACTATCAATGATATGATTTATGTAGTTATAGGTACCAACCATTATTGAATCTACTGAAAGTTCAAGTCTGCATATGTACAATCTTTCATAATTTCCAAAGAAGCCAAAATATCTTGGAATAAAATATCTCTGCTTTGATGATATCATCATTTTGTGTTATCAATAACCTCCTGAAACAAATAATGTACCTATTAATATTTCATGTTCCAGTCCCTACTATATCAATGATTTGATTTAGGTACCTACCTTTATTGAATATACTGAAAGTGCAAAAATGCATACTCAATCTCACATAGATTTCGAAGAAGCCAAAATATCTTGGAATGAAACATCTCTGCTCTGATGACATCATCAATCTTGTGTTCTCAATAACTTCATCTGAAACAAATAATTAACCTATTAACATTTCATGTTCAGTACCTACAATATCAATGATTTGATTCAGGTACCTACCTTTATTGAATTCATACTGAAAGTTCAAGCTTCCATACAATATTTCATAGATTCCGAAGAAGCAAAGCTATCTTGGAATAAAACATGTTTGCTATGATGATATTATCAAGTTTGTGTTCTCAATAACCTCCTGAAACAATAAATAATGTATATGAATGTATCAATATTTCATGTCCGGTACTATCAATGATTCTATTTAGTATTTACTCACCATTGTTTCTTGCTACCTGAGAGAAATGTCATCAACAGAGATTATCATCCTTTTGTTATCGTTATCTTTTAATTCTGTGCAATAAGTTCTTCTCGCAATCATTTTGTGAAATAGAAATTTGATGAAGGTATTCAATGAATACTCTAATAATTTTGATATAATCATTAATATATTATGATGTATCTTGAACAAATCATGACTATCATGAGACATAACCTCAATTCTAGTTCTTCTTTTTCTTCCTATTGTCTTCGATTACACGTTATTTCATGAAATGTCATCTGAAGACATCCGTAGGCACGAAATTCTTTACATCCTCAGGCTGTCACTGAAAGAACTCATTTAGGACAATTACAGCGCTAAATTTACGCCTGATGATGTTCTTAGGTTGTAGAAAATAGAACGTCCTCTCCAGGCGTTTGGCGACACATTGAGGATGACCTTAGGCGAGTGTGTGCTATCTGGGAAGGCTATTACAATATGTGGATATTCATATCCACAAAGCGAAATCGTTAGTTCATCTATGATTGGTTTCCAAGACGGTCTTCGAAATTAATAGGTATTCCCTGCGACTCGCTGTTAATTCGCTGGTTGACTTGGTATAAGCAATCATAAATCAAAAAGGCACTGTCGCTCTATAATTTAATAGCTCAGGTACTTGAAAATGGAGTCAGCTTTTATTTTTAACGAGATGTCACTACTAATTCACTCTAATTCATGACACCGATTACCAGAGTAGTTGACCTCTTGGAAATCTCTTCCAAATAGCTTGATGAGGACATTATTCTGACTGAATGATATTTTAATTGAAAATTTTGAGGCATTTGTTGGATTTTTTTCTGAAATTGAATAATGATTTTCACTAAGGAATATTCCAAAGAACTTTATACACACCATGTATATACTCTGTACCATATTTCCATACTGATATTTTCGAAGTCAGGAAAGCAAATAGAATATTTAACTTCTACAAGTTGATACTCAATTCAATATACCCACTTAGAAAAACATCGTTTATTCAATCCATATATATTTTGTACATATTCTACATTCGATTCGAGAATTATTTATCACTCTCATAGTATCATACCTATACAATTTCAGTTACAAGAAACGACAATTCATAGAATTGTTGCTCATATATTCGTAATTCAGGAACTCCTATCAATCAATTACAACGGTTCAGGAATATTAAATACATTATCTACACGTCATTGAATAATTTAAAGCTTACACACAGTATGAAAAGAGAGATGAAAGTAAGAGTTTAGTTCATTATCGTTGTTTTCATGGCTAAGAATGGCAGGCAGTAAAACTAACTATGAGCATCTGAACATTCGTCTCAATCTATATACACTAATATACACGATGATAAAATTAGAATTCGAAATCAGTCTGTAGTCGCAGCACAGCCACATTCATTAATTTAAAAAGAGTCACTAATAGTTCATATTCTAAGTTCAGTGTCCACCACAGATTTATTCCTCGGCGCCGGCTGTCTACTCATCACGTGATGCGAAGTAGTAAGCCCCGGCGCCACCAGAGGCGACACCGAGGGAGACTTTGTTGCCAGAGGCGACAACGACGGAGAAAAACTAGGCGACATCGCTGTGGATGTGCTGAACGTGGCTCCCGATGCATCGTGACTTATCGGCGACCTCGGCAACATCATCATCTGGTTATGCCCGACGTTATGATGACTAGGCCCTCCTCTCGAATTCAGCACTGGCATCGCTATGGCTCTGGGAGCGACGCTCGTTATCAGAGGAGGCGGGATGCTCTTTCCATGAGCGACACTGCTCTTGACGCTGGAGTTACCGCTGGCACCGCTATGCACTGATGCAGTGTCATCTTTCAGTCTTGCTATCTCCGAAAACACATGAGCCAAGGGCTGGTACTGCGGACCCCAATCCAGGAGGTAGTCCCAGTTATAGCTCCCAGCCAGCTCTTCCTCGCTGTGCACTATGGAACTGAGTGAACCATTCATGGATGGTTGATGGTGGGTAACTGTCGGATGATCGCCATAACCACTCATGCCCATCACGTGATCCATGGCTGCACCGATATTGGATGGATTCACTCCCGTACTTTCATTCGTCGAACTAGCTCTGTCGCTGCCAGTGACGTCATTCAATTTGGCATAAATCATATTGGTGATGTCATTCTCGTTGCCTTCTTCGTCGAAGATGTTGAGACTGTCGAGAGGAACTGACTGGTGGTGTAGAACGTTCTCTTTGCTGGTACTAGCTCGAGGATCTTGGCATATTCTCGATGCAGCCTGTGGGTGCCCAGAGCTACTATTATTGACGATACCCAGTCTGGCTAGATACTCCTGAGTATTTCTCACTGACATATCGGACAAGTTGTCTTCCTCATCGTTCTGTCGATGGATGCCAGAATCTCTTTGCAAAGGACCTTCGTTTATCATCCGGATTTCTTCGTCTTCTCCATCGTCTTCGGCTGATCCTCTGCCACTAGATCCCGACTGTTCTGATCCAGACAGTTCGGAAGTCGTTGCTGCTCCGGAGTTTGAGCTAGCTGGATGTCCTGCACCATATGGAGGTATTTCGTCGTATTTGGGTGGAGCGAATTGATTGTTGCTATTTTGTAAAGAACCTACGCCTGCTCGAATTGGGATGGTGTCGAAAGCACTTGGATCAACGTAGTTGTTGGAGGATGAAACTGTTTCCGAGCTCAAGTTAGGTTTGTTAACTTGTTTATTTCGTTTGTTCCGCATATGGAGAAATACGAACACTGCTCCGAATATCATGATCAGAAGCAGAATGGATATGAGAAGCCCTAAAGCCCAATCTGCTATTCCACTACCAACTGCTGGAACAGCCGTATTCTCCCTATTTATAGCCAAATTAGTACCAGGATCTGCCAATGGGTCTAAGATAATCTCAACCACAGTCATATTCGTTAAAGAGCCTTGTCGTCCAGAGCTCGCTGTGATTACCAAGCTTATTTCTCTTCCAGAGGATGGCAGTTCTGCATAGTCCAGTTTCTTCTTGATCAAAATATCCCCTGTGGTCCTGTTCACCTTGAAAAACTGATGTTGAGTAGTCAACTGGTAGATTACTCTACCATCTGGACCCTTATCTCTATCTGTGGCGGTCACGTGTCCCACGATATAACCGGCAGGTAGTGCGGTGGATGAAGGAAGAGTAAGTTTATAGGTTCTTTCTGTGAACTGAGGATGAAATTCATCTTTTCCCTCAATCTCCACTCTGACTTTCACAGTGGAGTATTTTCCGCCGACATCTGTAGCTTGTATCACAAAGTTGTATTTATTTCTTTGTTCATAATCGAAAACTGTAGATGTTGTGACTAAGCCAGTGGAGGAATCGATGTGGAATAACTTCCAGGAGTTATCAACTTGGGCATAGTTGTTCGTGCCAGCTATGGAATAATTCACTGACCCGAATGGCCCTTTGTCCAAATCAGTTGCATGAGCTGTGAAAATGACTGTTCCAACAGGTTCGTTTTCGCCAACGAATTCCAAATATTCGGAAACAGGAAAAGTTGGTTGATTATCATTTTCATCTTGGAGAATGATCAAGAAAGTATTGAGCGTACATAGACTTGGTGTTCCCATGTCACATGCTCTGACTACAAAGTTATATTCGGTGTCTCCTTTGTCAAAGTCCAGGTTTTTATTCACAAACAATTCTCCTGTCTTACGATCGAGCTTGAAGTATCCATAATCGTTACCAGAAGTAATATCATAAACGATATCAGAGTTTGGTGAATTTTCGAGGTCAGCATCGGTAGCAACGATCGTCTCCACTCTAGAACCAACGACCAAGCTTTCACTGATCGTTTTCTCGTAATCAGCAGTTTGGAATACTGGAGCATTGTCATTCGAGTCTTCAACTTTTATCAATATTTGCATAGCTGGTGAATTTGTGTCGTCATTAGACATTCTCAACCTATGAGTATCTTGTATCTCTCTATCTAGGTTCTTCACAAGGATGAGAGCTCCCGATGGAGAAGAAATCTCGAAGAGCCTATCGTCATTGCCATCTATTATTTTGAAGATGCCTGTTAGCGCATTTGATGGTTTTGCTATCTGGATTATCGTAGTACCTTTTGTCGTATTCTCTGGTAAGTTGACTCTGCAATGAGAAATAATAGACTGTAGTAATATCACAATAGGGTAAGAATGGACTGAAAATATTTCAACATATCTTCGGAAACTTCTTGCCAAGCAAGAGATAGAGGAGCAACAGGAAAGGGCAACAAGTGTTCAATTTCAATTATTTATAATTTGTAAATATACTTTAACTAATGTTCATCAATCTAGAGGATCATGAGATCTAATTGGATCAGGTACTCTCTTTTATTTTGAAGATAATATAAACTTACTGGTAGTCCATATTGTTCAATGATTTTATTCCTGAGCCAGCAGTTATGTTAGTTCTGATCCTGACAGGGACGAAAGCATGCCGTGGTGGATTTCCTTCATCAGTGGCTTTGATAGTTAACAAAATGTCGCCTTCTGGTGGAGTTACATTGGAGAGATTCGTTTTCAAAACTCCATCATATAATCCAATAAAGAAACCTGGCATCGGATTCACTATGTTGAATCTAATTCTTGAATTATCTCCAGTGTCGGCATCCGAGGCATTCACTGTCACAATTTCTGTGAGAACACCTGAATTTCCATCTGAAAAAATCATACAATCAATATTTGTTCATTCATCTTTACTAGTAGAAAATGTGTGTTATAGAATGTTTTTTTTTATCCTTGAATTCTACTGTCAACAACAAAAAACCTATTATATCTTTGTCGTTTGGGTGAGTTATGGATATTGTCTTCAAGATATGACGACACTTTACTAAAAAAAATATGTCATAGCTCTTAATAGTTGTGTAGTTTGCGTGTAAAGATACCCTTAGCTTATTTCGATCTGTTCAGATTATGGCATAAAATATTCACCATTTTTAATAATCTGTGTATAGTTTGAGATATGAATATGGTATATTATCGAAGAACGTTAGATAATCTGTGTACAAGGTGAGTTAATTTTATTATGAATTATCTCAACTATTTATTTCTCAAAAACGATTGATATTCGATTCGAATAATCAATACTTATTTGTGTACTGCCTTCTAGAGTTTGTTATTGAGTATTCGCGAAATTCGACTAGATGGCGCACAGAATTTGAGCGCGAAGCAGTTTTGTAATGATCAGCTGTATTATTTTATGAGAGACCATTGTGTTCGATTTTGTGTTCATTCAAATTCAAATAAATTGCCGGAAATGTCGGAAGGTGAATAGAGTTTATCGAATATTTTGCCTGCGTAGTTATTCGTGAAAGGCACATGAAAGAAGGCGAAGCTGTTTGCAAGGCTGGTCATATTATCCTATATCAGCCTGGGTAATGTGTAAATCAGCTGTCAAGAGATAGAAAATATTTGGCCTATGTTCGCAAACAAATGCTCTCACTTCACCAAACCACAGGATGCATATTAATTCGAATCGTGATCTCCATAAATGGAATTGTATTTATATTCCACGAAATGAAAAAGAGGCCCTTTAAATAACCTCAAACATCCACCTTTGATAAAATCGGTCTCCAAGAAATGCTCAATCCAAAAAGAGTCACTTGATAGTATTCGTGGTTCGGAAACAGCTGAACTTCTGTCCTTTTCTATTTTCTAAATTACAATGCTTCAGTTAATAAAAGAATGAGCCATATACTCTGCCCTTTGTCTTTTCAATCTCCCTAATAGCGCTTGATTGACAGAAACGATTTTAGAGGTTATGATGGAAAATAGAAATATGGTATAAACACCTACTTCAATTTATAGCGATACGGCACTTTTCGCAGAACGAAAGTTATAAAAATGAAAAGAATGCATGTAACAACATATTTTGATAGGACAAAATAGACACATATGGATATACTTATGACTAGTGCGGTCGGTATTGAAAAAACCATTCAATGTTATACCACGTTGCAATTTACTTGATTTCCTCAGTTTCGTTTTCAAATTTTCAATTTCATTACGTAGTTCTTACTAGTTCTTTCTCCATGATATAGATATTTACGTAATCAGTTAGGAAACGCGTTGTTTTGTGTAACGATGGGATTTTGCGGGACGAGCGAAGCGAGATCCCGCAACATCACAGAGTTACACAAAATGGCGTTTCCTAACGTGTCACGTACAATATTTTTTCTAATTTTGACGAAACATTTCGCATGAACAAAATAATGACCAGTTTTACATGAGTTCTGCCGACTCTTGTTGTGTGAAATGAATGAATGAAATGAACATTACATCACCAGTTATGTAAAATTTTACTTTACGCAACTGGTTACGTAAAGTAAGACGTTTCAAAACTTCCGTCAGTTTTGAAAAGTGTCACATTACATGTCAAAATTAGAAAAATTTTGTTTTGCATTTCGTGTGATGATCTGCTGTTATCAAAGAAGTGGATTTCGATGTATGTACCTCACAAATTTTGCTTATCTATAAATTGATTTTTCATCCAGGCCATTCCATACAATGCTTCCATGAAAGAAAAGTTGATATTTCCCGATATCTCCTTTGGAAAATCGAATAAATAAAATCCATTCTGTTCAGAAATTCCACAATTCATTACACAGCATGACATTTTCATTTATGCTTCCTTCTCAATAGTTCATGAAATGATATTTCATGACGTTCATAAAATGTATTGTCAAATTCAAACAATTTTGAATGAAAAAGCGCGGGACAACTATGGTGCTCTCGTCACAATAGCAAGTGTGTGTAATTAAATGAATTTGAGCATTCAAAAACACTAACAGCTGTCCGAACTTTTATCTAACTGAGACCATCCAGTGATTTTAACTGCAAACATACGTGTTCTTTGTGTATGGTTTTTCCAATTTTTGATGAAAATTGCAACTTCTTGCATAAATCTTCGTTTTTAATTGGGGAATAATGCAGAGAAATTTTGTCTGTGGTATTAACTGAGCAAAACGCCAAGTATTGAATATTCTGACTTTTGCAGTCCATTTAAATGCACTCATCATTGAACAATGTTCATTAAAGAATATCATCCAACTCAATTTGTTGTTCAAATATCCAATGATGAGGCGAAAACAGTGAAAATAAATACACAACCACTTATGGCAAAAAATACCTTATATACTTTATATCAGTGCAATTCGCGAATAGGTATATTCGGGATAGTAGGTAGGTGACTACTAACGGAGTATATGAGAATTTCAAATTCAAAAATATTCAAAAAAATTGATTCGTCAAAGAAATTATATTAGTTGGTAGTAATAGAATTTAACTCACCAGGCAGATTTGCAACGTATGATGTCTGTAGGAAGACAGGAGAATTATCATTGACATCTATCACTTTTATGGTAAGCCTAGTGTGGGCCAAGTGAGCTGTGTCTGTTGCAACAATCCCTATCTGGCATTCTTGCCAAATTTCGAAATCGAGGCTTTTCTGCAGCACAACTTTTCCACTGTATCTATCGATACTGAAATATTCCATATCGTTCTTTTGGTTATCTTTGGAGAACTCATATGTCAGAGGTGGGTATGTATCTACGTCATTTGCTGTTACGATGGTGAGAACAGTCCCTACTGCAGTGTCTTCTTTCACCGTTATGATACTATGTGGGGGAAAAGTGGGCTGGTTGTCATTAACATCTACAACATTGATACGTATCTTAGACGTTCCTGTCATTTGTGGAATACCCTCGTCTGTCCCAATAACAGTCAGTCGATAAAAATCGCGGATTTCTCTGTCAAGGACGATATTAGTTTTGAGAGTACCACTGAATGCTGGTTCTATCTTGAAAGCGTTATCATGATTTCCATCTACGATATGATACAACACCCTGGAATTGGCCCCCTCATCAGCATCAAAAGCTGAAATTTGCAGAACGAATTCTCCTTTATTGTTACCCTCCAGGACATTCGCGGTGTACTGTTGTTGGGTGAACTTCGGGGCGTTATCATTTTCATCGGTAATCTGGATAAGAACTTTGCAGTAGCCATGCAAGTTTGGGGTACCTTCTGTTCTTGCTTCCACAATGAGGAGAATCTCCTTATGTAACTCATAATCCAGATATGTCAGATCTCTCAGTTGGATGATTCCGCTGTTGGAGTTGATCACAAATATATTTTCTTCATTTCCACTTCCAATTGAGTAAACGATTTTTTGCCGTCTGCCATCAGAACGTAATGCTGTCACTTGTATTACGTCTCTGAATTTTTCAGCATTTTCGGTGATTGTCATTTTGTATGTATCATTTTGAAATGTGAGGAGTGGTGAGCCATCTTGAAGATCTCCTACCATGATTTCTACTAGCCCTGTAGAGCTTCTTGGAGGGTTACCTTTATCTGTAGCGAGTATATTGAGATAAATAATTTTCCCTTTATTGCTAGCAAGTGATTGTGTGGTGGTTAGAATTCCAGTATTCGGATTGATTCTGAATTTTCCATCGGAACCATCATTTACAATACTGTACACAATTTCGGCGTTGTTACCTTCGTCGATGTCATTCGCTATGACTTTAAGAATCATTTGTCCGGGTTGGATATATGGTACTACTCTTTCTTTGAATGGATACTGGGTGAAAACTGGATTGTTGTCATTGACGTCCAATATTTTCACGGTAACTGGTACACTTTGCGATCTAGCGTCATATTTTCCTCTGTCAGTTGCAACCACTAAGAAATTGTAGACATTCTGGCGCTCTCTGTCGAAAAATCTGTGAAAAGAAGAAACAATGATTGATTGATTGAAGATATTCATCAAATGAAGTACACCAATCGTGATCAATGCATATCCACGTTGTGGTATAATTCATTTTGTTTTAAGAAGAAAACGAAATGAATGAATGAAAATATATCAACCATCATAAGTGACGTCACATGACTCAATCGGTAGAGCGAACTGACATGAATACTATTAGGACAGCTAGTGGTCATATCTCAGCAACTCGAAAATCGCAAATATCGAATAAATTGCTGGCCTGAAAACGTTTCTACTCGATGCCCAAGAACCATCAACTGCCGTATATGACAGCTAGTAGAGTTTCTTGGTGTTACGATAACACGATTAAGAGAAAATGAGATATGACAGGTTCTGAATGCACTGGAATCATTTTCAACAATTCTTATAGCATTAGCGGTCTAGATAGTAGTTTTATGTAGTGGTAGAGCAGAGAGGTCAGACATATTCGATATTGTGAAGTTGGCTTTAGTTTCCTCAGGGACGTCAGGACGTCATGTCAGTGTTAACCATAAGAAGAAGCAAAGACCTCAAACAAAAACTTGATATATGGCCAAAAGAATGCGCAGCAGGTAACGTTTTTAAGTTCAATATCAAATGCGCTCGAATTGGAAATAAGATTATCTCCAGAGTAACAGAAATTTTATCACAAGATATTTTTACTTATTTTATATCTATATTTTCAAATTCTTGTGACTTTACTTGTCTCTACCAATGAGAATCTTAATATTTTTATCAATATACTTGTGAGGAATATAAATCTGTTAATTTACATCAAAATATCACTGTGCTCGGAATCTTACAATCAAAAGCCAAAAAAGAATTTCCAGCGATAATCAGTGACAACATTTCTATGCTAAATGAGAACCGTAATATCATGTTATGTTACGTACACTATATATTGACGGAATGATGAAAATGATTCTCATCAATCAAGGAATACTGACTTTCTTCAATTTAGAGAATTAAGTCACAGCTTTTTTAATTCATAAAAAAGTATAATTGGTAACTAATTTTCAATTTGCTTTGTATTGTTTCAACCTGTTGAAGGGTGCCAAATTTCACATTCCAGGAAAAGTTGTTATTTGTTTCCTCATTATTTTATCAAAAGTTATATATTTTCTTTCAAATTCGAGTACTGATACAATTTTGTTATGTGCTTCATATTGATACTAAGGTAGATTATATATGAATTTATTTCTCTTTTAAAGATCATGGTGAGTCAATTGCCCACTTTCTCTGTCGTTTCTAAATGACGCCCAGGGAGTTGCCTCCTTGGGTTCCAAATGTTCGAGAAAACATTGCTTTGGACCCTTTGTTCTTGAAACCGAATACCAAATGTAATTGACATTGAAAAAAGATTGAACATTCGAAAAATGACAATAAATTGACAGTAGTTGCTGGAAACAAATAACACGAGAGGTATTACCCTTGTCAAGTCTAAAACTTAATGTCTGAGAGAATAAATCACGTTGTATTCATCCATCCTATTGAATGAGGGTTTGGATAAATCAACTTACCCTGCAGTAGTGATGATACCGGATTTATTATCGATACGAAATAACCAATGGCTTTCATTCGCTAGCGAATACATAATTTTTCCATTCATTCCATTATCAGCATCTGAAGCATGCACAGTGAGAACAGAGGTGTCTATAGCAACATCTTCCAGAACAGCAGTAGAGTATTTCGATAAATCAAACTTCGGATCATTATCATTTTGGTCTTCAACGTATACTGTTAGATTACAAGAACTCTGCAGAGTGGGAGTGCCTCTATCTCTGGCTGTCACAGTCAAAAAATATTTGAACTGACTCTCCATATCAAGAGGTCTTGCTGTCAGTTCTCCTGATTTGACATCGATGCTGAATTTATTGCCTGTATTGCCGCTAGTGATAGTGTATAAGATATCCCCGTTGGGGCCAGAGTCCAAATCCTCAGCTCTAACTGTATGTATGATGCCTGTATCTGAATTTTCCGGTACGGATAGACGGTAGCACGATCCAGGTTGGAATGTTGGTGCATTATCATTGACATCGGTGACTTCAATTGCCAATACAGTGGTGTCGAAGAGAGTGGTGGAATGCGTTGAATCGGTGACATATATTGGTATCACGTATGATTCTTCCGTTTCTCGGTCTAAGCGTTTTCTTGTTCGGACTTGGCCAGATGGGGAGAGGATTTCGAAAGTTTCATCAGCTATCCCAGGTGATATAACAAATGTCAGATTATTTCCTGAAAAAAAAAAAAAAATTAACATTAGTATGGTTATGACGGTTGTAGTTGATAAAAAGAAAAATTCAATGATTTCATTCACATGAAACAATGAATGTTCCAATGCCATACAGAGTAATCCATACATACAGCACATTTCAAGATCTACCAGAATGTCTATCATAAGTTATCTCAAAATCATTATCGACACTTGAAGAATGTACATTATGGAATGAGAATACGATCATTTTAGCGACGGAACATTTTCTGTCTCATAATATTTAATATTTTCTACCATAATGAGGATCATCTTGACATAGCTCCAATTTAGATTCCAAATAATTTAATTCATGAACACCTGATCAAGAAGCATTGTCAGAACTGGGACCTCATTCCTGGCAAATTTTAAAGGATGAGTGATAAAGATAGATATTTATATACCAAGGTAGTAAAGAATTTCATCACTACCCAAGGACCAAGATTATATTCCAAGGTTTCAGCCAAGGGGTTTTTCATATGGTTCAACATTACTAAGATGTTGTGTCAACTATAGGAAAAGCTAAAATACTTACTGGTTCCTGCAAAACTGAGTTTTGGGCCAATTCTGGTGATAACAGTACCAACAGATAAATCTTCAGGGACACTTGCCATATATTGATTATTCAGATATTTTGGGGAATTGCTGAGAGATCCTTGAACGAATAATTTCAGTTCCATTGTAGACTTCTTCGTAGGATTACCATGATCATTGGCAGTTACATTCAGAATAAATGATTTCTGATTCGATGTTAAAGGCTTGGCCAATGTTAAAACTCCGGTGTCATATCCCAATGAAAAAAGTCCACCTTCATTGCCACCGGATATTATGTAAGTCACCCTGCCATTATCACCACTATCAACATCCACTGCAATTATATGCGATATCGTCATACCAACTATAGTAGCTTCGCTAATGTATGCTGTGGACGTTGTTGGAACCACAAATTTTGGTGCGTTATCATTGAAGTCAGTAACAATAATCCGCCCAGTCACTGAAGTGCTGAGCCTTTCTGACACATTCTGAGCTTGGTCGGTTGCAGTGACGATAATAGTGTATTCTTGAATTGTTTCGAAATCCAAACTCGATAATAAAACGAGCGTACCAGTGAGTGAATCAACAGAAAATATATCACCATAGAACTGGTTCATCAAAGTGTATCGCAAGTCACTATTGCTACCACTGTCTGAATCGAAAGCTGTGAAGTTGTAAACAGACGCGCCGATTTCGGTGTTTTCACTGATTGGGATGATAATTGGATCTTGTGGCCACTTAGGCGAGTTATCATTGATATCAACAATGTCTACCTTGACAGTGATAGCACTACTTTGTGGATTGTTCATAGCGCTTGTATCTAACGCTCTTACTTCAAGCCGGTACTCAGACTGAATTTCTCTGTCTAGCTGTCTAGCTACAACCAATGACCCAGTGCTTCGATCTATGTCAAAAGCATCACCTATACTATCAGTGAACATCGAAGTTAGAGTGTATGTAATATATCCTCCAGAGCCACTAATCGAGTTCTCGTGGACAGGCTCTGATCCAGCTATAGATCCCACTACGTAGCCGATGGAAACATCCTCTGGAACCCGGAAGACGAGGCTAGAGCTAGTGAAGGTGGGCCTGTTATCGTTCAGGTCCAGTACCTCAACTCTAAGCATACGGACACTTTGCTTCGGTGGTTTTCCACCATCTGTCGCTCCAATCGCGAGACGATAGATCGTTTTCTCTTCGTGGTCAAGCGCCATTCTTGTCCTGATGACGCCGGTATTGGGGTCTATGGAGAATGCGCCGTGGTCGTCCGAATCTCTGTTCTTGATGATGGAGTATGTGATGGAGGCATTGTTGCCACTATCGGCATCTACGGCTTTTACCCTAACCACTTCGGTGCCAGGAAGTTGTTCTTCGCGTACACTGATGACGTCTTCTTGTGGGTCGACGATTTCGGGGGTATTGTCGTTGACGTCGAGGACTGTGATTTTCAAGAATACTCTTGCAGTTCTTGAAGGGGTGCCTTGGTCTCTTGCTTCGACGACAAGATCGTGGTTTTGTTTTTGTTCGCGATCTAATGGTTCTTTGGTAGTGATTTCACCTGTAACAATAAAAAAGAGGTCATGTCAATGCATTCCAACTCCTCACTGAAGTGAAAAAGTGATAGTGAATCCAACATAAAATAAATGATCAGGTCTTGTACTGGCTGACTCGTTATAAATTAGCGCCCCCATAACTCTTTTTATTTTCGATAGTAGGAAAAAACTTCAGAAACAGTTTTTTTTCCTCCTAGAATTAACATTTATATTTTGAATGAATAAAAAAACATACAGGAAGCAGCAAAAAGTGCATTAACTTCAAATTGAGCACCATATTCAATGTAAAGACCATTTGAAGTGCTTCCAGAATTTACCATATCCAATATTCAATCTTCTGTATTTATTAAAATGTGAGCTCTTAGAACTAACAGAGTTTGATCGATTTCGAATTATTCTCGAGGGTATATAGTTCGTGACAATGATTTCAATTTTGATTTTCAGTGATCACCGCCAAGTAGAATCAAATGTCATAGATCATAGTGATATAGAAAATATATCTGGGATTTGCAATCTTTGTTATAATCTTCTCATGAAAATCTTTGAAAAAAGATCAAACTGCTAGTTTCGAATGCCCATTAATTATTGAATAGTATGGAATATTCAGTGGGGTTTACAGCTCTTCGAAGGGTCTTTCTGATGGTGTGGGAAATAAAGGGTGCTCTATTCAAGGTTAATAAACTTTCTGATGCTGGTTGTGATTTCACCTGTAACAATAAACAAGAGATCATGTCAATGCATTCCAATTCCTCTCCGAAGTGAAATAGTGATAGTGAATCCTACATAAGATAAATGATCAGGTCTTGTACTGGCTGACTCGTTATAAATTAGCGCCCCCATAACTCTTGTTATTTTCGATAGTAGGAAAAAACTTCAAAAACAGTTTTTTTTCCTCCTAGAATTAACATGTATATTTTGAATGAATAAAAAAACATACAGGAAGCAGCAAAACGTGCATTAACTTCAAATTGAGCACCATATTTAATGTAAAGGCCATTTGAAGTGCTTCCAGAATTTAGCATATCCAATATTCAATCTTCTGTATTTATTAAAATGTGAGCTCTTAGAACTAACAGAGTTTGATCGATTTTGAATTATTCTCGAGGGTATATAGTTCGTGACAACGATTTCAATTTTGATTTTCAGTGATCACCGCCAAGGAGAATCAAATGTCATAGATCATAGTGATATAGAAAATATATCTGGGATTTGCAATCTTTGTTATAACCTTCTCATGAAAATCGAACTGCTAGTTTCGAATGCCGATTGATTGAATAGTATGGAATATTCAGTGGGGTTTACAGCTCTTCGAAGGGTCTTTCTGATGGTGTGGGAAATAAAGGGTGCTCTATTCAAGGTTAATAAACTTTTTGATGCTCTCTCTATATATTTTCTCAGATAGTGTAAAACGGAACTTCCGATTGAGGAAGCAAAAGCATTTCCCTATATAGATATCAATTTCTTTCTGTTTTTCCTATTGTGAGAAATAATAGAGTTATTAACGTCGTGTCACCCGGTACAATTGAAATTTATGTAAAAACATCTTAAACCTTGCTTATTTCATGATCCCAACGGGTTCGTTTGAATGTACATGAAATCATGTGAATATTATTGCGAAAACAAAAGTTGGTTGAGATGAGGTTCATCACGCGTGAAAAAACCACATAAGAATCATCTGTCAAGTTAATGATATATACCTAGGCCACATCAGTTACTTGCCTATTCCAACATGAGTGCCAATACTAAGTTCAAGTTAACATGTACATCATTCTTATATGTGCCGTTATCATTTGAGTGGATGTTTCATATCCAGTTTCCTAGTTATTTCTTCGCTCACAATTAGATGACATAAAAGTACGCAAATGATAATTAGCGTAGTTATTAGCAGTTGTTAGTTAAACATGATCTAGTTGTACACGATGCGAAAACCGTGATCGTAAAGAGCGCAGAGCATAGAACGGAAGCGCCGTGTTGCCAATCTGAGCCCTCTAAAAGTCTCACATTTATAGTTGCACAGATTGGCATTTTCAATAAATCACTATGCTAACGCGTGTTTCCAGTTTTTTCTGGAGCACACGAAGAAGAATTACCATTATATTCGAGGAACATGGTGAGTACCTAGGAGGGATGGTAGAGAAGGGATGATTCTTGAAATTTTTTCAAACTTTTGGCCATCACTTCTAGGGATTTTGTGTTTTCTAACCCTTTTTCATAGGAAATATTTTCTTTGGCAAATGATTTCAAAGCTTATTTGCCGTTCTATGGCCATTTCGTTATCGCACTATCGCTATATATCTCTGAAACGCTTAGAGATAGAAAGTTTTTCAAATGAAACATATGTTGTATCTCCTAATAGTAGATATCATGAGCCATTCCAGAGATAATTGGGAAAAACCAAAACTTTAGATTTTCGTTTCCAGGCGCTCCCCCATGTGCATTTCGGAAAATAGAAAAAAACTTCACATACGTATTCTGTTCAACTTCGTGTGTTATCCAAATTTTAGGTACAACGTTTCGTTCATCCAAGGGCACCCTCAACTTTTTTTTAAAATAAGGACCTGATAATTTTTTCACAAATCAAATCGTTTTTTTTATTCCGTATACAAAAATGTATCACACTCATATTTTTCGTCTGTGAAGTTTTTTTTATAGCCTGAAATGAAAGCTAGCGCCTGATAACGAAGATCGACAATTTTGTTCTCTCAATTATCTTTTGAACGGCCCATGATATCTTCAGATGATCGTCTCAATATGGAATCTAAGAGCGGAACCCCATATGTTGGTACAGAGTATCCTAAAATGGGCCGACCTGTGCTTTGTAGATCATGAGAAGTTATTGAGGTGCGAAGTAGCATTTTGCTCGGAATAAAAATGACCATCATCCTCCAGTGTCTATCGATATCCCCCCAAATATCTTAATTACTGAAATATTCGACAACGCTGGAAATTAATCGCTAATCGGCAACCCTGGCGGAAACTGCGAGCGGTCTGCAGAGGAAGGCCGCGGACCCGCGACGAAGGGGTTACCGATGTTGATGGCAGAAGAAGCGGTCCGACAACATTCCCGCTCGTCGACTCGCCACCGCATATGGACCATATTTCGTGCCATCGCGGAAGGAGTGTGCCTGTTCCTGTTACCAAACTCTGTTTCCACGTAGTTCTGAAGAATATCTAATCAGAGTAGATCACATTAGAATGTGGCCTTCGTGCTATATACCTCCACACCGCGACCTTTTCATATCTATTGTGTCTGCCCTCGAAGGGCAGGGAGTTTAAAGTTATTTTACTAACTCCACCTTATTCTCTATTAGAACCCATGGGCAAGCTTTTGGATCTCCTGTATATGTTTGGGCTCTTGGCAAGCCCTCACAGTGGCAAAGTGTGTATACTGTTGTTTCCTCCTCTTCCTGACGGAATTTGCACAGCACTTCTTCAGCTTGACCTATCATGTGTTTGTTCTTCCTACAGTGCCATGTGAGGATTCCTATTAGTACACTAGTTGAACTTCGTTTCTGATTAGTAGATATTCTATGAATATTGGCGATGATTTGATAAACTCCTCAGCCTGTCTCAATCCTGGTGAATTGTTCCTCCATTCTTGAGATTTGGTAGGTATGCATCTATGATTTGATGCTTGTCTCTTGTACATCAATACCACAAAAGGGTTCTGGACCACTAAGAATATCACGTATTAGACCCTCCAAGAGGAATTGGTATTGGGTATTGGTATTGATAGGTGCCGATGGTGACAGATGCACTGTGACCTGATTAGATCTACTGTACGCCATCTCCTCTTGCTATATCAAGGTTTTATTGTTTAAAGCAGCTTCTCAAGTTGCAGTTCTTTCATGAATTTGAGGATTTTTAAGTGATTGTGACAAGTTGCTGGGTTTAATCAGTGTCTTCGATCTTCGCGACTGTCTTGCTCTTATCGCTTTTTCAGATTCACATGGTTTTATTGAAAATAAAAATAGTGAAGGCCTCAGAATGGCTCTGGTCCGATCAGTGGCAATGATGCTGCCAGAATAGGTGCTTGTTCATTTTCCTCCACTCCGATGTGCCCTGGCACCCAGAAAAGGAATAACTTGATGTTTCTGCCTAAATTGTTGAGCTCGTCTAGGTATTCTCAAACCATCTCAGAGTTTATGTCAGAAGTGCTAAACGCTTTGAGGGCTACCTGGCTGTCGAAGGGGATATCTCAAAGACGTATAATAGAGTTAGAGTGCTGCATTCAACTTCAACGTAAACATAGAGAATAACAGCTATTTATTGTATTCATTCATTCATTTCCCAATTCATCATCACGCTTGCATTGATAGTGGGCTTACGGATATTCGTCATCTTACGTACTTTCATGACGACACTGATGACTTCAACAAGTTGAGGACAGTGCGTTGACGTTGTTTTTGGCACGTTAACGTCTATATGGAAGTCTGAGTATCTACAGTGAGTACTTCAACTCTCTAATATCCATAAGCATGGAAATATGTGATTTTACTGGGTCACTCAATCACCCACTCCTACTGTGAGATGACCTATTGAACTTCTCACGCAGACTATTAGAATTGAATTCAGGAAGAAGAAATGTGCATTGCGGTTCATACTGCATAATACTTCTATAGAGATGAGCATGCATTCCGTAGATCAAACAATTTTACGTCATCATCAGGAACTACGGGGTTCATCAATTCAAGAAAAGTGGACCAAAATAGAAATATGACAATTTGTGTTGAGGTATTCGCGAATCCATATCTGCAAGTCTGGGATGAGGATTAGTCAAGGTAATTGAAGATGAAGACTTCTCCAAGGGGCTGAGCTTAATTTTCTTGTAGTCGGACTTGCTCGAATTGGAAACAGAAATGTACATCATGACACACCAGAATGGAATCTTGAATACAATAATTTTACCATCGTAGAGAAGTCATTGGTTCATGATAGGAAATGCTAGAGGGCACTTGCTATCCCAATAATATTACCTAAGTACCTATATGCTACAAACAAGGCT